GAATTTCTAGTAAAGAATAGCCTGATAGTAATCAATTGGCCGTCTAATAGTTCCGATCTCAACCCAATAGAAAATTTGTGGAGTATAGTTAAGGGAAAGGTTGAAAAACGTTGGCCAAAAAATTTAACTGAATTAGAGTGGTTTATGGTAGAAGAATGGAAAAAAATCTCAGAAAGTATTTTAGAAAACTTGGTGGGATCCATGAAAGAACGATGCAAATTTATAATTGAAAAAAATGAGGAACGTATCCCATATTAAATGTATTAAATTTTTTTTTAAATAAATCTTTAATTAATCAGCTTCTAATGAGCCATTGTACATGTGATGTGACGCATTAGTTTTTGAATTATTAACGCGTGAAGTTGTCCAAAGACTTTCTTAACGCACTGTAATATTCCAAAGAAGGACAAATGTGATTAGAAGGTTTCAAATTAAAAGTGAATAATATTAATCAATATTTTCAAAGTTACTCATAATTTAATACAAATATCAATACTCCCATCTCATTCACTCAATCTACACTTATTAGAAGATCTCATTATTGACTATATCAAAATTGAAAAATCAATTAACTTAATTTCTCTTTAAGTGACTATTTATTTCAAACTTCACCTTTCCTATTGTCATAAGGTAATATATTAAGATCCATATTTCCAGTTGAATTGATCTAAACTAGATTACCTCTACTATGTAGCAACTCTCCCTCAAGTTCAAATCGAAGTATTTTTGAAGTTAACGACAAAAATGATAAAGAAGTTTATCGACCATTGGGAGGAGGATTCCAAACTGATAACAACTCGAGAAACTATGAAAGAATTATTATACAAAGATTAGCATACAATACTGAATATAACACTTTAGAAATTAGTGACTCTTCCGAGTTTAATATTGAAATAAACAATCAAAATATTAATTCACTTCAAGATTTTGAACAGGAAGTTCTGAATAACTATCTTGACCAAATCAAATTTGACACTGAAAGTAATCACAACAGTGAACTTGAATTCGAACCTAAAATAATGGCTATAATAATTAAATCCAATAAATTCTCTGGTTCTAGTAAAGAAGATTTACAAGAATAGTATGAAGACTTTTTGATGGCCACTCAAGTAAATAGATAGAATGAGATGGGAGTATTGATATTTGTATTAAATTATGAGTAACTTTGAAAATATTGATT